ACACCCACACCCACACCCCACACCCACCCACACCCTCTTTTTTATAGAACAAGAATATGACAATGTTTGATTAATTATGGTATCCATGGTTTATTCTGTCTGTATCAAATTTGAAACATTTAGTTGTTCGTCTAAATCAAGTTATATAAAAATTGTCTTGTAAACAATTAGATAAGAAAATGAGAACGAAAAACGTTTTTCGATTATATACAGAACAATAAAGTCATTGCAAACAAATCTATGTTCTAACACATATGTACTTGGAAATGACGTATTATTATTTACATATTGGTAAGTTGTCAAAAGCCAATGACTCATGTTTTGGATAGCAGATTCAAAAACTAAATATGCATTTTAAGTAAGATCTCGGGTAATAGATTTTACACTGTGATGTTTTCATAAAAGATGTCAATTTTAATTCTCACTCAAATGTACTATATCCAATTAGGGACAAAATTCGCTTAACGACTTTTGACGGAAAATACTTTCTGACAATAACATTAGCGACTTTCACTCTCATAATCAGGGTTTGCAATGGAATTTTGAAACAAAATGTTTTGGTACACTCTGATTAACCAAGCAAAATGTACATATACACTTTATTTTTGCAAGCAAAGTGTATCAAGATGTCCACGTCGAACTTTATTGTGTAATCTACAATAAAAAATAAATAAATATTCATTTTTTTTAACCTATCAAGGATATAAAACAAATATAGAAGATTGTATAAACAATAAATAAACGCATAATTATTTTTCAATCTGACAAGAATAAAAACATGTTTGAGAAAATAGTACATATTGACATTTTACTTCAGCGAAAACACACAAAAACTAAAGATTTACTAATTCAATTAATATTATATCAAATAAAAACAGTTTTTGTATAAAAACAAACAAAATGTATTATCTACACTCTGCTTTTTCCAACAGCATGTAAAACAACGTGTATCTGAGATGTCGCAAGGGTTTCGTACATTTTGATTTTGCTTGGTATACTTGCTATTCCGAACACTGCTCATAATGATATCCATAGTTTATATTGAGTAACTTCGTTACTAGAGCAATAATCCTTTTAACGAAAAGTAATTTTGCCTTAGATGGTAACAACTTTTACTTATTTCTTAGGTTGTTTTAATACTAAATAAATTAGAACATTTTCAATTTATCGGTTTTTTTCCCTGTAGATGTCAATGGTGAGAAATGTATTTGCTATTGATAGTACAAATGAAACAAGTTTTTTTTCTGAAAGAAAGACAGACAGTATACATACCAATATATAGTTTGAATTTCTTTCTGTTAATCGCTTAACATCAAAAGAAAAATCCAATTCATATTGTGGTATAAAAGCATATCATTCATATAAAATGTTTTACAAACGTAATGCAGAAAATAAAAAAAAAGTTAGTTAAAATAATAACGAAGAATTTTCTATTTGAATGAAATTGTTTAGTAAACATTTTAAATGCCATTTTGATGGTCAATGTGAAGTAAATATTTATAATCGTCATATATGTTCTGCATGTAGATTAGCAAAATGTTTTCAAGTTGGAATGTTCACTGAGATGATTCGATCATCTTATGCAAAGAGAGGAAAAAACAAGTCAATACATTCTCAACATCAGTTCAAATGAAAAGTTGGAAAGCCTTATGTCCACAACAGGTTATAATTTTACATTAAATTTCGTTTTCATTCGAATTCAGTCTCAATCGATAAAAAGTGACAAGAGAAACGACAGTCATCAAATAGAAAGGAAAAACAGAAAGATTACATATTTGTATAGCGAATGAGATCAACATTATTTAGTCTTGACTTCGGTCAAAAAAAAGAAAAGAATTAGTTTCGATTCTGGCTTTGATTTATTTGTACAAATCGAGTTCGGTTACATACATTGTTATGTAGCATACATCTACATTTAATCATATTAAAAAAAAAACTAACAATTATGAAGAAACAAAACAATTCGGAAATTATATCGAACCATATACAAATAAGAACGTAAGTATATCATTTACGGACTAAAAATAAAGTGAATATATTTTATACATCTGAAACAAGAATCATGATTCCTTATACAATCCATATACGAATATTAGAATAAATGTCACAATTAAAATATGTGAATATTAGTTTGAAATGATCAGGAATGTATGTAATAAGATTCTAGCAAATGTTCAACATATATAACTAAAGTTACCTTTTACACATAAGTGGATTTTCAGCCCAAAAAAATTTTGAAGAAGGAATCAACTCGAAATCATATAATTATATTGATTTTTTGAATAGTCTTGCAATGATTAAAATCAACATTTACAAATAAATTTGATTTCTATTTTTATACTTTTATTCTTTAGATACGAACATTAAATTTAATTGAACAAAACCGATCATTATTAAGTAGTGATCAATGGACTCATCTTTCCAATTTGATTCATTTTTATGATGAACATATTGTTCTACCAGCTGCCAACGATTTTCTGAAAGAATTAGATAGTTTACATCCAAAATTACGTTTTAAAATTAATTCAAACAGAATTGTCGAGATTATGACAATTATTTGTCAAGTAATAGAAACATTTATGCAATCAAATCATGATTTTGCTTCATTATCTCTTCATAATCATTCCAAATTCAGCTTTTTGTAACGGTCTCGAAATTACTTATGATCCAATTCCATATAATTTCCCATTGAATGGTATTTCATTACTTGATCCAGGTGTGAATCTCGTTAAATTAGCATTATTCCTATTTGCTTTTTCTACAAGTCGTTGTACTCTTTTCAATGAAAAAACTTCAATCATTCCTACATTTACAAAATATCTATGCTTAATTGATATGGAAATATCTATTGTATACATCTGCATTTGGAGAAGTTGTTGTACATTTTAGTCATCTTGTTAAGTGTTTTGTTACTAAATTGACTATTAGAACTCATCTACAAAATCTTAGAAGTTATACTAGTGTTGTTGAACCATTCAATCAAAAGATTAAACAACTGCAAATGAACAAGGATGTTAACTAAATGTCTTTTTTTCTAATATGAATAAACTAAAAAGAAACACTAATGTTATCCATTTATGTGTAGTTTGTCTATCTGATGGTTTTAAAAAATTGAACTTTATGTTATTAAAATAAATTCCAATATTGTTCTTAACTTGAACATAATACAAGAGATGTTTATCACAGTTGAGAATCTGTTGTTGTCACAATGAACATCTCTAATATACTATAATATGTAATAATATAGTATGATCTTTGCAAAATAAAAATCAAAATATGTGCTGTTCTATTCTATAAGCATTGTAAAAATTCGTCAATCTTTATTCTAGGGTTGTATATTGTCTTACAAATTAGTATGTATATAAAATATTATTTCTTCACAAATTATTTTTGTTTATTATTGTACTTGATCATATTTACTCAAATACTATTCTATTTTTTTTTCATGATAATGCTTGTTTTATTATATAAAACTAGATTATTATTTATGATAGAGACATGTTTAAGCTTTACATCAATAAAGATATGCTTAGAGAGTGAGCCATTCTCAAGTATAATTATTAACTTCAGCAAAAAAATAAAAACATTTGAATTTTTCACATATAAGCAAAAAACAGAAGAAGAAATTTACATATCTAGCTAAAAATAAACGTTATTCAGTAGATAAATAATATAGCTTGTTCAATAAATGCTCGCTCTTTGTAATTGAAATGCCGCTTATGTTTATCTAGAGAAATAAATTTCTTGTTTTTCTTGCTTGTCTATGAAAAAGTTAAAGGTGTTTTTGTTTTTTGAAGTCAATAATCATATTTAACAAAGACTCATTCTAAGCATATGTTTATAGACAAAAAAAAATGAAACTTGTCCATATCATTGAAAAAAAAAGTCAGTTTATTTTGCACGAACTCTATTTTCTACGATTAACTGAGTTTGACCTATCTTGTAATTTTAAAACAATTCCTAAATGGGATTTGAAACTTTTCAATTTATTGTTTTTGTTTTTTCAACAAAACAAGAAAAATAACATAGAATAGTTTCATATTCATATAGATTTGATGGAAATAATTTAATGATCTATTGTTTCATTTATCTGATCAATATCATTAACATGTGGTTGAATACTTCGAAGATGAGATATTCTTTGAATAACATTTAAAAGAAATTCAATTAAATGGATAAATCTTTGAAAAGCTTCATAATAACTATATTTATATAAAAAAAAAAAGTCTTTAACTAATGTTTCATTGAATGAGAAAATCTTCATCTTCTTAAATCATACGTTGATATATTGAACTGATCTTTTATTCACCATAACTATGAATTAAATTTGATAGAAGAATCTATTGATCATCAGTCAGTATCGATATGTCCGATTGCAAAAGATTTAATATTAGTAACTACAAAAATAAACATTTTTATACTAAAAAAAAGAAAAATATTATTTTTTCCTTTTAGATTATATAATTATTAAAAAATTTTTGAATAGAACTAAGAGACTTAGATTTTTATTATTGTCTAGAGTTGAATCAACAATTAATTTTTTTAAATAATCTTTTCAAAAGTAGTTTTTATCAAATAAATTCATTCATAGATAAAACAATTGAAAAACCACATAGTTTATTTACATTTAACAATTTTCAGCTGGAACTAAAGATTTACAAGAGTAAATTTTAATTTATTTGGTTAAAACTAGAAGCAACAGCTAATTATCTTATAAATTAATATAAAATTCAAAAAACATAGTCAATAAAAGAAAAACTAAATTCGTTAATTAAATAAATTGAACTATTTTTAAGGATTTCATTTAAGTTAAACTTTCGATTATTTCAAAAAACAAACATCAAAATTAGAACTAGGTTAATCATCTACATTTTGATTTCAAATACACAATAACCATTTAATCTTCATTTGAAAAGACCCTAATGAAAGTTTTTGTTATAATCACAACAAAAAAAAATTTATTTAATGGTAATTGCTTCGAATAATTTTAATTTCAAACATTTTATCAATTGTGTTTGGCTTGGTGGACATGATAGAACACCAAAATATAAATAACGATTGTATCAGATGGAAAGATCTTGGTGAATTTCTCTGTCATCTTCAAGTTTAATGCTTTGCTTTTTTTTCTTAATTTTAAAAAGTAAGTTCTAACAAATTTTGAATTTTTTTTCTTGCATAAAAGTCGAAAAACTCATAGAAGTTGAAAACAAAATTAAAAACGTAAATTATTCTCATACGTATGAAAAAGATCATTACAGACATAATCAATTTGTTTCATTTCTGTATGAAACACATTCTCTCTTCTACTGAAAATATTGATATGTGTATGTGACTACTAAGACCAATATTCTTTTGATGAACTTTTCCTTTACAAAAATAATAAAACTAGTTTTTTTTGACCTCTTTCTTTTCTTACAGTAAATTTAGATGTGATGTTAGAAGTGAGTTAAAGAAATAAATTTGTTTCTATAAGCTATTACCCATTCACTAGTATTAGTAGTAGAGTCAATAGGTGTCTGTCTAGTCATGTTAATCTTTGGGATATTTAATTATTATTTTATCTTTGTACTAGTATTATTAATGATCTAAAACTTTGGAACAGTTAAGCCGCATCAAAAAGGCAAATATTAAATATGTTCGATAGGTTTGTTAGCTGAATAGTAAATTATAATAATTCATACTTAAATCATGGAAACACAAGAGTATAACGAAAGTATCAGAGAACATAGGAAATGAACTGGAAATATAGAATGACCCACAAGTCACTTTATCGAGAAAAAATTCAATGCTCTCGTTATGACTACAGCAAACGGGTTTACTTTTGTTTTTTTTTTGTTATTGAAAATACCAACATGTTTATACTTAAAATCTATAAGAGTTAGGTTTCTAAGAATCTGAACAAAAAACTATTACTTTTTTCACAAACTAGAAATTTCTCTATTAAATTTTTAATAAATATATCTTAGTGTTAATATTTATATTTATGTAGAATTTATTTGTTATACTAATGTTTCATTCAATTAATAGTTTTTACTTTGTGAAACGATCTCATTACTTATGATAAATTTTTCAAAGAAGAGTCGAATTAGACTAAGAAAATAGAATAATATTAGAAAGTATCAATGAAAAGTTTAAAAACATTTTTTTCACAAATTATATACTTATTAGAAATCATTATTTGTCTTGAACTAATTGTATTTAAGTTTTTATTTTATTTTGAGACCATGATAAACAATCATCTGTCAATCATCATTATTAAAGTAATCGTCTAAATCATTACAATAGACAATGTTTTACATATTATAGATTTCATTTTCTTATTTGAAGACAAACACAACGAAATATTTTTGTATTATTGTTTAGAAATTGATTAATCCGTACACAGAGTAGAACACCTTAGGATTTATATTAAAAATCGTCTTGCTCGAGTAGAATTCCATATGAAGTTCTCTTTGATTGTACGAATCACTTTAAAAACAATTCAAATCGATTATTGTTGATCTATCTAACATGAAATACATAATGTTCGGCACTTTGTATCATTTACCTAAGTTTCGACCGAGTTTATTCAAATTAATCATTTATTACATTTTTTTTATCGTGTATTTCTAAATAATGATATTGTTTAAAGATAAGTATCTACTTGTATATTTTTATTTTAAGTATCGATCGAAATAAATATCTATCTCTGAATTGAACAATACGAATGATTTTTCTATCTTATTAAATCTGTAAATATTCATTTAATTTAACGATAATAACTTTAGAGAAACAGGATAGAACTTAATATTGTTTGTATTATTGTACTATTTCTAAACTAAAAATAAATTATTGATGTCAAATAAGTCCAAAATAGATCTTAAAATAACACTTCATACAAATTTCTAAATGATTTCTTGTTGAGTCTGTTAATAAAATTTTCTTCGATGAATAAAATTTCAATATTTGAAATGATTTGTTTCTTTTTATTTTTAGGCATCAGATAAACTATAAACAAAAAAAAAACCATTAATTACTGTTCGACATATTGAATTGTGTCATTCGAACTCTAACTATATTTCAGATCAAAACAAAATCTACTAGATTTTCTCAAAAGTCTAATTATACATCGTATGTAAAAATAGTACATGTTTAACAAGGTGCTAATTTTTGTCTGATAAAAAAATAAAATAACTATTCGATGAGATCTCGATGAATTGATATACTTATTACACAGATTTAAAAATAAATTAGTATGAGAATTATTTTGTTTTTTTTTATGACTTTAGTTCAATTAATTAAAAAAATGTTCTTCTTGGATATTTGTGAAGAAATGAATCGTGTTAAAATCGAACCTATTTGTTCTCTAGTGAAAATACATTCTTCTAATAATTCCATATTGAAATAAGATCGTTTGTTTTTATTATAATTATTGATTAACTGATAAAAACTTATTATGACTTACTTACGTGCATGAAGTTAGAAGTAGAAAGTGATTCAAAAATAGTCGTGATTTGCTTTTTGAATTACTATTAATTTTAAATAAAAATTTTTTGGCATGACATTATTGATAATTATGAATTTATATCGAGAATAAAACACCTCTGAAAAAAAAAGGTCTTTTTTGACTCAAGTTGTCCGAAAAGATACGGTCTTCATGTTTCAAATTAAAATCATCGTTTTTCGATTGAAATATCTTAGCTGATAAATAATAAAAAGTTTGACTTTTATGATCTTATGCTTTACTGACTTCTTTGCATAATGTTAAAAAGCTGTCTTGATCCAATAAATATTCAAAGAGTAATTCTCATCTATTTGTTTAGAGATCAGCTTTCACGAGAATTTCAGAACTTTTCATCGTTCCTATCCAACCATATACCAATAAAAGCATTTATTTGTTAAATTGAATCTATGGAATCGCAAACTTGATGTTCCTATCTCAGGATAAAAGCAAACCCAATGACATAAAATTTTCATAGTAAATCATTCTCAGTACAATATCATCGCAGACCAAGTGATTCAACTGTTCGAACGTTATGACGTCTTACTATCACTTATGTAATGGGCATACGTATTTGTGAGTCAAATGCGATTATCTAAACATTTTCAGTAAAGAATTAGAAATCAGGGTGCTAGTTACACTAAAAAAAACCAATTTCCAAGAATATAAATCTTTGCCAATCAAAAATCTTTCTGTATTTTCGGGTGTGGATGTGGATGTGGGTGTGGGTGTGGCTGGGGTGTGAGTGTGGATGTGGGTGTGGGTGAATGGGAAACATTCACACCCACAGCCACTCACGCCCACTCACACTGACATCCACCCACAGCCACACCCACACCCACCCACAGCCACCCACACTCACACCCACACCACACACCCACACTCAGACCCACACCAACACCCACACCCCCAACCACACCCACACCCGCACCCACACCCCACATCCACACCCACACCAACACCCAGACCCACACCGACACCCACACCCTACACCCCACACCCCACACCCACATCCCACCCACACCCACCCCACACCCATACACCCACAGCCACACCCATGCCCACACCCACACAACCACACCCACACACCCACACCCTCATTAAAACAAAGTCGAACTTCTGATGGAAGCCGATTTCATTGAAAAAAGACCTCCCTCCTTTAAAGTTACAAATGGTCATCAGTTCATAGCGATTCGTTCTTTTGCAATACACGATATTTGTACTGGAAACAAATGTAAATCATCAACTCATAATGGTATTCAAGGAACTATTTGTTGTTGTAATTCACAATTATGTAATCATTCAAATACAAGACCAATTTCATGAAGTTACTTTATTGGAATAATAATAATAATCAGTGCAATGAATTTAGTTCTCTATTATTGACTTTATTTTTCGGACGTTTTTTTTTGCTTTCAAACTTCTATATCTGTTTTTTTTTTCATACGAGATATTTGACTAGCGATGATATGTTATCTTTTATCATTCATAGCAACATGTTGGTGCTTGTTCTCTCGATATTTTTAACTGTTGGAGTGTCCACAATCAACAGTGATACTTGCACTTGTTGCTTCCGTGGTTCAAAAATATGTCAAACACCTGCAATTTATTTTCCTTCTTGTGCTAATTGCACAGGTTCTTTTTGTGCGAACCATGTGAAAGGATGTCCATATTCACCTCCATGTGACGTTCTATGTAACTCAGATTCTAGTACAGCAAGCACCTCAACAAGACGCTTTTCTTCAATGTGGCCAATCAATACTACAACAAATGGTGCAATTTCTGTTTATGTTCAATGGATCATGATTTTTTTCGGTTGGATATCATGGACTTTGGTTAAGTAAACTTTTTAAAAGACTGAAGATTAATATTGAAAAAAAAAGAAAGAGTAAACAAAACACACCAAAGGAAATGAACGTTTCTGAGTTTTTTCCTAATGATCAATAAAATTTATAATTTTATTATTATTAGTTTTTCACGTGAAGCATTCATGTCGAATATTCAGAACTCAGTCACACTTTAGTAAATAGTCTTGAACAAACGTCTCAAATGATTATATCAGATTTTACATATTTCAAGAAATATTTAAAATGCTGAAAAAACAGAACAATGATCCTATTATAGAATATAACAACATGTAACTATTGTTTAGGTATATTGAAACTTCATTGTGTAGAAATTTATTTTGATGGTATTTAAGCATTTCTTCACTTTTTTTCTCATAAATATTCTAATGTGATCAATAAACAAGTGATGATTAAAAAACTTTGCTTATACTTATTGCAAATGACTTACTTTCTGTTGCAACTTTAGAAACAATTCAATCACGTGAAAAGATATCGAATAGAGATTTCAATGATTTAAGATTAGTAATGAGCAATCGTGATAATCGAATAGAACTCTATATGCATTGAGCTATTGGAAATTCAACATTTTGCATTTTATAAATGTGCATATATTATTGTAATAAACATGACTCACACGTGTAAGACTACATTTGTAATAATAAAAAACAAAAGGTTAAATAAATTTCAAACCAAAATCCGATGACAACATTGATCGCAAATACTTCATTGACGACAGCTATGCAATGCATTACAGCAATCACATTAAGAACAACCATTACATTAAATATGCTTGAGAGTAATGAAAACTGCAGGATACTTATTTTGCTACTATACTTCAAGTAGCAATTCAAATCCAAGTGTCTTCAACAAATATAGGAAACAGACCTATTTATTGTATATAAGACTAAACAATTGATAATGATGAGAGGTGAGTGTGGGTGTGAATCATCAGCAGATGTACACCCACACTCAGGCCCTATTCTAAGAAGGTAACGCATGTAAACTTAATAATCAAAACGTTCTAAAGGTAATGGTACATTTGGTGTATCAGTTGATGTCCACCAATCTGATATTAAACTATTTGAATGTGTAGATGTTACATCATATGTATATGTATTTGTATTTATTGATGGTGATCGATTTTGTTTTTGTTGTTCTATTATTTTTATTATTTGATGATATTTTAAGTAAAAATGTTGTCTATTCAGATGAAATAATAAGATGATCAGGTGATGTTAAAGAATTTAATTCTTTTTTTAAGATTGTTTCTATGACGACGTATAAGTGATGAAACATGCTGACTTATTGATGAACTAATACATTTTTCTGTTGATGATTTTTCTTGTAATTCACGTATTCATGATTTACATTGATCAATTATTTCATCTAGATAAATAATGAAAGAAAAAGAAAAAGAAAAATACCAACATTGGATTTTAATTTTTAGTTTTTTATTTACTTGTTTTTAAAAAGAAATGTCGTCGTAGAACGTCAGCAAAACATACAGGAGGATTTCACAATTGTTCAAACATTACCCATCGAACTGTTACTTGTCGAATATTAGGATCATATTCAAGTGATTGAACAGTACCAGTTGCTGTACCACGTGTACGTTCATGATCAGGTTCATTAAAATAAGATTCAGATACTAATATAAGACATTGAATAAAGACAAAAACCTAAAGAAAAAAAAAAGATTATTATTTCATGAATCAAATGAAAGATGTTCAGTAGTGATATCTTTATAAATCGTTACGGTCAAAATAAGAGAGTGACCCTTCTAAT